CCTCGGGGCGGGTCGAAGGAGCGGGCAGGGGCTGGCGGGTGCGGGGAGCGCAGCGAGGGGGCCGAGGGGGACAGTTCCCAGGTGCGGCGCTGAGAGGCGGGGATTTATGGCATCTGGGTTCTCCCGCAGCTCTAGGAGATGCGTTTCAAGATGGATTGCCGCGGGGGAAATGGCACTTCTCCGAGTCCTGCAGCACATGGCTTGCGCTGTAACGGGCGTGTGGTGTTTAGGATAACAAAGCAAATGACCCATTTTATGGAACAGCCGTTAGTCCCAGACTGTCCCCAGGCAGACTATTTTTTCTTAACTAAAATTTGGTGTTTGCGTTAATTAAGTGGTTAGACAACAACAGTCCTGGGAACTTCCTTCAACAGCACAGGCATTGGTTCTGTTCCTTCCAGGTATCCAGAAATGCTGTGCGTGTCAAGAAACACATGTAGACAAAACAGGATTAATTTATCTGATCTTCTTTTCGATACCGCATTTGGTTTACAATGCAAGACCTTTCAGGTGATTTCCTCTGCATCTCTGTCCTTTAGCTTCAGAATGTACAATGCTTCATAACTGGCATTGTTTCTAATGGTGTCATAATGGGGATATGAAATGTCCTAGCCTACAAAAGGAAATCTTCACAAATGCAATATCACTATCCCTCTGTGTTTCCCCATCTTCATGCAAATGTGTTTTGTCTTATGCTTACAAACTGTATCTGCTATAGTGAGATGCAGTAGCACAGTGCTCGAGGTGCTCTGGTACATACACCCCCAAGTGAGATTGCTCTAGATTCATGCTGAAGGCTGCTCAGTTGTTTCAAGTGCAAAAGGGATTACACAAGCTGGAGAACCAAAGAGAAGCAGTTGTGTTAACCTTGCTGTTTGCTTGCGTGCACATAGCTACAGAAATTTGTGTGCCTTAATGGTTCAAACTCCAGGGGCAGCGAGGCTCTGATGAGCCTTTAGCTTTCTGATTTATGTTAAAAGGAGAAAAGAACTGCATGTTAGAAGTATTGCACTAAGGCACACCCCAGTTCATTCTTTCATTCCCTTTATAGCAGCTGAGAGAAGAAAAGTAACTGAAAGTTCTTGCCTACTGCAAAAAAAAAAAAAAAAAAAAAAAAGGTAGTAGAGACAATTACGAGTCAGCTTATGTGCCTTTATTTCTCTCCAGGGCCACCTAGGAAATCTCACAGCTGAACCCAGACTCTGACAGAAAGAACTTACAGGTTAATTAGACACAGAGGCATGGGAAGCTGGATAAAGGCAACTGAAGTTTTTTAGTTGAGGACCATTATTTATAGTGGGCTGTTTGGGTTTGTTGTTTTTTTTTGTCAAAGACATTTAAGCAGCAGTGTTTGTTTGTTGGCCATGCCAGTGGAGATACCACTGCATAGTTAGATGCCACTGCATACCCTTCAGTGATCATAATGCCTGAGAGCTAATTCTTCACATGACTTTTCACCACCTTGTTTCTGGGACTAGAGCCTCCCTGTGGGGAACGGTCCATCTTCTGTCTCGCCACATAAGACTAAACAAAATGCCTTTCAAGCCATGACATTCCCCTTCCACTCAAAGTGGCAATGCGAACATCAGTCTGCTATCCCTCTTGTGCTGTGTTTAGTAACAGCTGCAGTGATGACCAGACTAGTTTTCCAGATGAAGATTTTATCTAGCAATAGAAGAATGGTGACACTGGAAAGGATTGCAGATTCGTTGTTCTTCAGTATCCACTAAGTTTATAGTCTTCTTTACTGATAAGGCAGGTCAGGGCCATGGCTTCAGAGTCTGATGGTTGGGTCTCCATCCACAGCTGATGGAGACGACTTGTGAGTTTTATATTTACCAGGCTTATTTTCTTATATGCTCTTCCCACTGAAGGTATTTTCAAAGCCATGGTACTCCTGATCTGAAAAGCCACTGGTATTAAGAAATGTAGTGACAAGTTTGTCTGGAATTGAGGTGAATTTGGATCTGGAGATGAGGCTGCGATTCACGTGTATTCCATATTTGTGCCTATACATTGTTTA